CCACTTCAGGGCATGCAGACTCCCCAATGCATTGGGGCTGGAGTTTCAAACTTGACTACCTCTCCGACAAGCCCCTGATGATAGAGAATATTGTGTACTCTCTGGTTTCATTGAAGTAAAAATGTGCATGTGGACAAAACATATGTGCAAATAGAAAATCCTAACAGGGTTTTGTGAGGACGATGAGATTATAAGTGACTTGAAACTTCAACATTTGGTAGGTGGTTTGTAGTTTGTTTTTTGGTTTAGCATGTCGTCACTAATTTTAAGTGCATTTTTCCGGCTAGAGGGGCAATGTGTGAATGCATTCTCACCGTAAAATGATAAAGTCAGATAATGTAGAAGCAGAGAGCCCACCAGGGCACCTCACTGCTCCCTTACCGCTCTCTGCCTCCCTAGAAATCACCTTTGCACTGTTGCTCTAGCGTTTCTCCAGTGCATTTATTAAGGATAACCTGTTTTAAGAATTTTAAGTAGGGCTCTTCCTGCTCTCCCATAGTCTCACCTGAGCCCACAGCGTAGTCCAGCAGTAGTGACAAGGACCCACTTTTTCAAGAGGTGTGCTAGAGCCCTGCTCAGGGATTGCTGGGGATGGGCAATGCCTGCCTGTAAACTCAGCCCACCAGGCTCCTCTAGGGCATGGAGTGAAAGGCTGGGCACCAACGGGGATGTGTGGACAAAACTCCCTCTGATAGAGTGGCAGGGCTGGCATGGGGGGAGGTGCTCTCCTGCTCACCCCCACCAACCCCACGCCCCCTGCTGCCACACTGCCTGTGGGTCTGCTCTCTGCTGCTGCTGCAGGCCCTAATAAGGGGGCTTTGAGAAAGCTGCCCTCGTGAAACTTCAACATTTGGTAGGTGTTTTTTTTGTTTGTTTTTTACCTTTAAGATATAGTCACTAATTTTAAGTGCATTTTTCCAGCTAGAGAGGCAAGGTGTGAATGTATTGTCACTGTAAAACCATAAAGTCAGACAATGTGAGTGCATTTAAATGCAGAAAAGTCCAGAATGGCTCCCGAGCTCTGAGGAGTGCAGCTGGATTAAAGAGGGTGCAGAGGAGACTTCTGCCCTGAGGCTGCTGATGCCAGGTTGTCCCACAGAGGCTATGGGTCCAAGTGCTGTAATGAGCCTGGAGCTGTGTTCTGGGACACCGGCCTCAGCAGATAGAGGGGTCTAGCACTCCTTGAGCAGGGCAGAGTGACATCCTCAGAGAAGCACAGGAGAGAGAGCCTCCGCAGGCTTCAGTGGAGGTTCCTCGGCCGGCCTCCACCTTGGCCTGCCATGGGGAGGTGGCCACAGAGGCCGGTGTGGGCTGGCCATGTCGGGGAGATGGCAGATCATGCTGAACGGCCAAAGGGAAGAGACGTGGTTTGTGCAGTCAATGAACTCAACACATCCTGGGCTGCCTCTGAAGGTGATTAAACAGGGAAAATAATTAATACTGTGAGTTAGCTCAGCTTTACAGAAACATCTTAGTAAGTATGAAGTATTAAGGCGAGGACGAACATGAGGTGGGAAGATGGGATGGAGCAAAGGAAGGAGCACAGGGCGTGGCAGAAGGGAGGGAGGGAGGAAGAGAGGGTACAGAAGGAAGGAGCATAGCTGTGGTAGGAGGGAAGAAGAGAGGGTGCAGAAGGAAGGAGTATGGGGTGGCAGGAGGGAGGGAGGAAGAGGGTGCAGAAGGAAGGAGCGGAGGGGGGCTGGCAGGAGGGAGGGAGGGAGGAAGAGAGAGTGCAGAAGGAAGGAGGGGGGGTGGCAGGAGGGAGGGAGGGAGGAAGAGAGGGTGCAGAAGGAAGCATAGGGGTGGCAGGAGGGAGGGAGGGAAGAAGAGAGGGTGCAGAAGGAAGGAGCGTAGGGGTGGCGGGAGGGAGGAAGAGAGGGTACGGAAGGAAGCATAGGGGTGGCAGGAGGGAGGGAGGGAAGAAGAGAGGGTGCAGAAGGAAGCGCATGGGTGGCAGGAGGGAGGGAGGGAGGAAGAGAGGGTGCAGAAGGAAGGAGCGTAGGGGTGGCAGGAGGGAGGGAGAAAGAGGGTGCAGAAGGAAGGAGCGTATGGGTGGCAGGAGGGAGGGAGGGAGGAAGAGATGGTGCAGAAGGAAGGAGCGGGGGGGGGTGGCAGGAGGGAGGGAGGGAGGAAGAGGGTGCAGAAGGAAGCATAGGGGTGTCAGGAGGGAGGGAGGGAGGAAGAGAGGGTGCAGAAGGAAGTATAGGGGTGGCGGGAGGGAGGGAGGAAGAGAGGGTGCAGAAGGAAGAAACAGGGGTGGCAGGAGGGAGGGAGGGAGTAAGAGAGGGTGCAGAAGGAAGGAGCGTATGGGTGGCAGGAGGGAGGGAGGGAGGGAGGAAGAGGGTGCAGAAGGGGTTGTAGGACAAAGAGGCAGATGAGCCAGCACCACTGAGAAAGGCACCCACCTGCCTGCGCACACAGCACTGTGGGCCAGAACCACAGTGAGGCAGGGAGAAACTATTTAAAAAATGTAAAAAGCTTGGACATACTGAAAGCAACAGAAATTCTAGGATTTCATGGGCAACAGACCACAAAGGCTGAAGAGCATATTATGACCTCAGGGACAAAACTTGATGCTGGAGCCAGAGCAGTCCCCAAGAAGGGTGAAGAGGTGGCCCCGCTCCCTCTGCGGAAAAGCTTCAGTGCTGGACACTGTTATGGGCTGAACCATGTCCCTGCAGAATCCGTGCCCCAGCACCCCAGGATGTGACTATGTTTGCAGACAGGGCCTCTGTGAGGCGGCCATTTACAGTGAGGTCACAGCCTGGCCACATCCTTATTAGAGGAGGAGACCAGGATCCCTACACTCATGGAGGAAAACACTGAAGACACAGGGAGAAGACGCCCAAGGAAAGAGGCCGCAGGGCCCTGCCCTGGCCTGATGTCAGACTTCCAGCATTGAGAACAGAGAGAGAACAGGCTGGGCACGATGGCTTATGACTATAATCCCAGCACTTTGGGAGGCCGAAGTGGGCAGATCATGAGGTCGGGAGATAGGGACTGTCCTGGCCAACATGGTGAAATCCTGTCTCTACTAAAAATACCAATAAATTAGTGGGGTATGGTGGGTGCCTCTAGTCCCACTACTTGGGAGGCTGAGGCAGAGGAATCGCTTGAACCCAGGAGGTGGAGGCTGCATTGAGCTGAGGTTGTGCTGCTGCACTCCAGCCTGGGCGACAGAGTAAGACTCCATCTCAAAAAAACAACTGAGAGAGAAGACTTCTGATGGGAAGCCCGGCCTCTGGAGCTTTGTCCCGGCAGCCTGAGCTAATGGGTGCTGGCCCTCATACTAGAGCAAACTAGCCGAGAGACCCAGGCAAGCCTGTGCCCTCAGAATTCCACCTGTTCACTGGGTGTGCTATGCCAGTTACAGAAGTCAGTGTGGGCAGTTGAGAGTGTCCTGTGTGTGGATCGTGTCACAGTGACAAGGTGTTGTGAGGGAGAGGTCTGAGTGCTGGGTGAAATGAAAATGTTTGGTGACGCTAGATCACGCTCCTTCTCTGCATTGGGGCCATCCCTGAGACATCAGTGGCTCTCACTTGGGAGCACGGCAAAACCACCCACCGGGAACTTTCTCCAGTCTGGGCTTCTCAAGCAAAGTCTGCCTTTTGTGGAATTTACCCCTTGACAGGGCAGATTTGCTTCCGAAACACGGCCAGGTGTCTCAGCGTTCAGACTGAGATTTTCAGCATCTTACCTGACACTGACTCACTCTACACAATGCGTCACAGAGGAACGAAGGCTTGTGTTTCCATGAAGCCTTGCAGTGTTGTCTGTAATGCCTGGAGTTGACCAGACACTCCCGTGCTTTGTGTGTTTTCAGAATTCAATGATCAGGGCTGACGTTTTGCAAACATGTTCAGCTATTTTCAAAAACAAAGTTGATAAACTTAAAGAAAGTTAAGTAGTTTTCCCAAAACATATTCTGTGTTTCTGTTTGTTTGTTTTGTAGAATAAAATGTGTTCAGAAGAGAAGCCAAGAGAATTCTTCCACTCTCTCAAAATGCCCGGGTCTACTCTAGAATTTCGGGAGCTGTCTTGTGCACGGATGCAGTTTTTGTGTTTAATTGTAGCTCTGTTGCTGGGATCCTCGCTGTGGCTCTTTCTGAGTAGCCTCTTCCTACATGTATGGCCAGGGAAGGGATAATGTCATGATCCTATTAGTATTATGGCTATGATTTGCTAGATTTTAATAGAATTACTATTATGATTAACACATGCTAGGTTCTTACTGCTAACCTTTAAGCCTTTTAGAACCAAAAGTGTAACACTTGCAGGGGCTTCTGTTAGTGACAAAGCACACTGAACCATGGTTCAGTGGATGCATTATCCATGCCAAGTGGCGTCTGTCAGGACTTGTAAGCTGGGCTGAGAACCTGTGGAGGTGCAGGTGCATTGGAGGAGGCACACAGCGAGGGATGCTCCCCTCTTCTCATGACTGCCTTTGCATCTGTGCAGACCCTCCTTGTCCACACGTCCCACACCTCACCGACTACAGAAGAAACACCTCTTCTTCCCTTTCCCTTCCTTGGACAACAGTTGGCCTTATTTTCCAACACGACTTCTCAAGCTCTCCTTGGTCTTAAGTGAGGGCCTTCAGGAGCCTGTGGGAAGGTGGCATCTCTGGGATATCTCCAGAGAAGAAAAGTTGGAAGATGATACAAGTAGAGGAAACATCCAGGGATTTAGATGGTGGCCCAGCACACAGCATTGAAAGACCAACCGTCTAATATACAGATGAACAAACAGAGGCTCCAGATATCCATTAAACATTTGAGAAAATCTTAAGCAGGTCTTAAATAAAATTGCGCGGAGTGGAGGATGTCTCAAAGAAGCATGCGTTCATATAATTCAGGCTAAAACTAACCTTCTGATTTATAGAAATAAAAGGTAGTGAGCATTGTGGAAATGTGAGGCCGTGTTCTCGTGAGCGATGAGTCCATATCTCATGGGGCTGACCGGATTTCTGATGCCGTCACTCATTTCTGTTTGTATTTCAGATTGGGCTTCCCAATGATGGTTGTGTCCTGCACCGTTGGGATGTGTTATCTCCTTGTGGCTCATGTGGTGCTGGGATGGAATGAATAGATATCCACCTGTCGCTCGAAGACTAAGGTGAAATTCATCCATCACAACCCATCAGTCATAAAACTACTCTGACACCACTCTTTGGAGAAGAAAATGTGCTTACACTGGAGATGCTACGGAGACACGGTGGAATAGACCGTGACACAAACACTCTTATTCTGGCAGATGCTGCAGTCTCATGGCCTCCTCTGTGTGTCCTTTCTCCCCAAGGACAAAATGTGGAACACACAAGGTAATTTACTCAAGATTCCCCTCCAGAAAAATACACATGCTTCAAAACCCTTATTACGATACACAGGAAAAGACACACATCCAGCCCGAATTGCTTGTTCTGTTTAAATATCATTTCTCCTGAGGATAAGCACAGTTTGGCTTTTCTTGTAATCACTTTTCATGTTAAAATAATCAGGATTCGAATTGTATGCTCTCTGCAGATAGACTTCCTGGGAAAAGGTTTACTGCTCATAAGGAAAACACTTTATGTAATAAACTGTTCCTTGAAGAAAGGCTTTGGAGTAGTTTACATTATGTATTGTAATGCACTTTATCCATTTATAGTTTTCTCTGCTGTTTTAAAGTTATTAATTAGAAGTCCAGAAATTTGACTTGCAGAAGATCATAGGTGTCTTTTAAAGGATATTTTACATATTTCACAACCTAGTGTAATGATTCTCTGTTTTGCAAGTGGTGCAAGCTGTTTCCATCAATGACATGGACGTGAGTGCTGTCGACACACTCTCCCTGCAGGACACTGTGGCCCAGTCAGTGTTTATTAAATGCAGTTCTTTCATGAAGCATTCCTTGTGAGGCAAGGGTAATGAGAACAGAGATCAAGGGGGGCCCTGTGCATCCTCTGAGGTCTCCCCTGCTCTGCCTCATCAGTACTGTGGTCATGCCCCAGGGGAGGAAGCTCTTCTTCAGTTCCTGATGTTCTGTGTGTGACACCCTGCAATGAAAATGTTGGGGGACACTGCTCCAAAGTGATTGTGTGTCAAGCGTCTGATTTCAAAAGGTCCAAGATGCTCAGGGCACTAAGAACTGTGGTGCAGGAGACCTTTCTGGTCCCGTTTCTGTCTCGGGCACCCTGAGGATGGGTGTCCGTGTTGACTGTGGAGAGTCTGTGTTGTACCATGGCAACCTGGTTCCTGGGAGTGTTTATGATAATATGCCCTTTCAGTTCTTTGACAGCAAAGCTGGTGGGCAAACCGATCTTTATTTTAAAATGTGGTGTTGGACAACATCACACAGAAGCCTCCAGACACTTGCAGCTGACTGGATGCCCTGGAGGAGCCCCTGCCACGGTCTGTTTATGGAAGCTTCCTTCCTCCCACTGCTCCCGGCCTGCCTGCACTTTGCTTGGTCTCAGTGGACCTGCTCGTCCCTGAGCCAGTCACTGGAAGGTGTCATTTCCTCTTCTCTCCCATGCCTGGATGCCTAGAGGCAGCACTGGTCTCCCTCATGTCTGGCTGCTTCCAGCTCCGCTCATGTCTGCTCTTCCATCCTTCCACGTGTCATTCTGACGCTCAGGTCCGTCTCTCACCCACTGGCTTTGCTTGTTGGTGGCTCTCTCTACTCCTCAGTCCTCCCTTCTCATTCTTGAAAACTGTTAGCTGCAGGCTCATTTCTCTGGCTTGCACCACAGCCTCCCTGAGGTTCCTACTCATGCCCCACCACCCTCCTCCCCTCTTCTCCGTGTGACACCCATCCTGGGTCCCCAGGACCTGCCTGGGGTCCTTCCTCTCTGGGGTCCATCTCTGACCCTCCAGGACTTCCTGTTATTTGCCCCAGGCTACCCTGTAAAACAAACCTTGCCCCTGCTGGAACTGCTGGTTCACTGGCCCGCGACCTTTGACTGACGTCCCCTGCCAGCTCCCTCCTCCCTTAGTTGTTTGTTTATGCTCTGAAATTTAATGCTCAGCCAACAAACTGGCTCCATGCTACCTTTACTGTCCCTGAGTGACGTGAATCATCCCACGGGGATGGCTGGTTTTATTTTTAGAAGAACATCTCAAGCATCATACATCCCCTTGGCACCACCTGGCTCTTTGATTTCATTCTCTAGCGCAACAGCCAGAAACCTGGCAGGAACAGGTGGCTGCTCACGTCGGGTAAGTGCACGTGACTGCAGCCAGGGGTGGTACAATTCTTCAGAGCCAGTGCAAGGAGGCAGCTGTGGGCCTCTGAGGGGGAGGGGAGGGACAGTGACCAGGACCTGGAGATGTGGGGAGCTGTGTCCAGAGGGATTGGATGGCAACCGGGGTCTTCTGCTGGAGCTGTGCCAGTGTGAGATACTCGGTGGCCAGGAGGATGGGGGCCAGGGGCGGGCATGGGAATCGTCCTGAGTTTATGCCTTTCTTCCTGTGGCTTCCCTCTGGGCATGGACTGAACTAGTTGGAAGCCAGAGGGCAGGAGTAGCAGATGGAAGACACTCAGCTTTAGGTGCCGTTTTGCTGCTCCACAGATGACAAGTCCACATCTGGATAAAAAAGCCACTAAACGTACCGTGAGTTTTTCTACCCACGAGGCCATGCAAGCTTTCCCACACTCCCTCCTGACGCTGTCTCCAGAATGATCAGGTGCTTATTAAACCGTGTGCTATTATGATATAAAAAGACAGCCCTGAAGGAATCAGTTGTGCCTTTGCTAGAAATGTTGGACTGCCACAGGCAGTCGTCTTTGCTAGAGTCTGCCGACGTCACGTGCATAAAGTCCTAAGGCCACAGGGACCGTGAGGACACACTTTTACAGTCCGAATTCACTGTGAAAATCCAGATGAAGGATCTGCTTGCCCTTCGCTGCAGACAAGGATCTGGACCTCCCTGAGCTCACGTGAGGAGCTGTTCCTTACCTTTGACACACAGCCCCACTCAGCGTGGCAGCGGCAGAGTCCACAGGAACCTGAGCCGCTTCCTCCAGCAACACGTGTGCCTTCCAGATCTGCTGGGGCCAGTCTTGTAAATGCAGCATACTCCATGCACATCTGACTTGATGGCCCAGTGGATCAGATAGCACTTGGCTTGTGAGGCACAGCTCAAGTTCCGTAGTCACTCTGTTTCCCCCAATCCGATCTTCAACCTGTGCCAAGGCCCAGTGGCAGCCTGGAGCTGCTTTTCTACAGAAGACTAGTGCTCCAGTCAGAACAGGAAGGCAGAGACTTCATTCAGATCCTGAGGTTTGCACTCCGCTCTCCCCGCAAGGCTTGCCAGCGTCTCCCTGCGGTGTCTGTGTCTGCACTTGGGATGCCTGCAGCCGTGCTGTGCTATTTCACAAGGCCCAAGTGGCAGGGCAGCCAGCATGGCAGTCTGGACCTGTGAGCTGCATTTGAAGGAGACTTTCTGCTACTCTATCCAGGATGTATTAGTATCTTGTAAGAGCCCTGGAGACACTGATGGGTTTTGAGGGATGAATCTTGAGATAAATACAAATCAGTTTGTGAGCCAGCTAATCAAGGTGCAGTCACTAGATGGCTTTAAGTGGAGAAAAGAGGGATGGGCTTGTGGGTCAGAGGGAGGTAGAATGATTCTTCCCACTTGACTCTTGGTCAAGATTATCTTTGCTAATGCCTATGCTTGCAAATAAATTTTAGGATAAGCTTGTTTATGCCCATTTTACAACAAACTTGATCTGATGTGATAGAAATCACATTAAACCGACATGTTAACTTGGGAAGAACTGACCATTTTCCTATGTTGAATTTTCCATCCTTTGGACAGGATATGTCGCTTCGTTTATTTAGGTGTCTTTTGTTCTCTTTTATCAACATCTCACAGTGTTCAGCATATATAACTTGGACAGTTTTGTTAGATTTATAATTCAATAGTTAATATATTTTGAAATGAAAGGTACTGTGTTTTAAGTTTCAGTTTCCACGTGTGCATAGTTAACATGTAGAAATGTGATTGATTTGTGTGTGTAGATCCTGTGTACCATGACCTCACTGAGTTCACTTGTTTGTTGTAGAACTTAAAAAAACTCCTTGGTATTTTTAATATAGATCATTATGTCGTCTATTAATGCAGCCACCTTCACTTCTCCCTCCCCGATCTTTATGCCTTTCATACATATTTTTGCCTTATTCTGGTGGCTAGAACACATGAGAAGGAACTCGTTTACTAAACTAGATTTACTTGCAACAACTTCTTTTCATTTTTCTTCATTTTAGAAGAGTTTCATTTCACCTTCATTCTTGAAGTCTTGCTATATATAGCACTCTTAGTTAACAGTTTTTTCCTTTCAGACCTTGAAAAGTGCTCTGTCACTCCTTGTGCCCGTGTGGTTTCTGATGAGGAATGTACTGTCATTCAAATTGATTTTCCCCTGTAGATAAGTTGTCATTTCTCTCTTGCTGCTTTCAGGAATTTCTTTTTATTTAACTTCAGGGATTTGATTATGTTGTGGCTTAGTTTGAATTTCTTTGAATTTATTGTTTTTGAGGTTTTTTTCACCTTTGTGAACTTTAGATTTCTTTTACCAAAATTGGGAAGTTTTCAGTTAATAATTATTCATATATTCCTTCAGCCCCATTCTCTTTCTCTTCTTCTAGAACTCCAGTGATACAAATGTTGGATTACAGTCTTTAAGGCTCTGTTCATTTTTTTTTCCAGCATTTTCTCTGTATGTTCATATTGGGTGAATTTTATTGATCTGACCTCAAGCTCACTAATTCTGTACTCTGTCATCTCCATGCTATGGTTGAACCCATTCAGCAAGTATTTTATATTTATTTTATTATTTTATTTTTTGGTTTTCATTTGGTTTATTTATTGCTTATTCATTGCCTATTGAATCATGTTGCTGACACAGGCTTTAGAATCCTTGTCATATAATTTGGACAACTGACTTCTCCCGGTGTTGGCATCAGTTTATAGTGTGTGTTTTTATCCAAGTTCTAATTTTCTGGTTCATTGCATAATGATCTATAATAATATACTGGAAAAATTGGCTAAGGAGATTATGGATTATATATGAAAGCTGTATTTTGGCTAGCAGTTACCCTTTTTAGGTTTGGTACAAAGGTCTTGGTGTACTTTGAGCTGCAGCTCCAGTGACTGTCTCGTGTTGGGAGCTGATACCATGTGGTTTTGATCTGCTTGCTTTCTCCTTGGTGTTGACACTTACATTGCTCCCTGCTGATGCTGCTTGAAGGTGTGGAGAAAATACTCCAGGTCAGGCCACCTGGTGTCTCTAGGAGGAGGGGATCTTCTGACTTGCTCATTTGTTTTGAGGTTCTCC